CAGTGAAAGGGGGCACCTGGTGCAAAGGGTACTGCAGTTGTTTGGAACTGGGGCTGTAGCAGGAGCCAGGCAAGAGGATTGCTGCTGTATGAGGACAAATATGCCTCAGTCTCACTAATTTGTATCTCTGCTGCTGTTACTGTCTTCCAGGAAGTGAAGGGTTGAAGCTGGGAGCTAGGAGTACTTCAAGTCCAGAAGTACCTAGATCCATATTGAAATCCTTTCCTCCTCTGGACCATATTTAAACAAGTTCTTACCTTTCATCATGAGTTTTTCTTTCACTTTGGAAAATCACAAAGAAAAGACATACTTTTATTTTTTTGTGTGTGTGTGAAAGCACAGGATTTCCCAAGATTTCACAGAGAAACATGGCCTCGGTCAGCACAGGTAATAGGGACACATAAACTCTTCATCTGTGTTTCTTGCTGGTCAATGACCTATGTGGTGTTAATTTAGTAAGATCTACCAGGCTCTGTATTTTAACTCTGGCAGTGTGTTTTAGGAAGTGATGAGACCTCTCAGGACATTTCTTTGGCACACTGTAATGTTTCATAAAACTGAGAGATTGTGTGTCATTTAAAAAAAAGAAAGATACTGTAGATTAGCCAGAACATTTACCTGCCAATGTGAGGGTGGACTTCACAGTATTTTCTAGCCTGATTTTCAGTGTTTGATGTGCCAGTATTTCCCTCTGTCTTTGGAGATATCCCAGTTCCTGTTACAGCTTGATTAGGAGGTGATGCTCATTCTTTCATCTGACAGAAGTCACAGTTTCTTCACGGCCAGTTCTCCAACCTTAAATACAGACTTTTCTGATTTATTGGTAATTTCTGTTCCCCAGTCATTCCCCTTGCTCCTTCATTGTGGACACAGATGACACGACAGGGAAAGTTTGGGGAACAGGATTCTTAAGAAAAGTCACATTCTTCTGATGTACAGTACTATCTGCCCTTAATCTTAGAATTCTCTGTGGGGACTCTTGGCTAATTAAAGTTCAGATGGTTAGATAATGCTGTCTCAACCTATATCCCTGATGCTGTGCTGTTTATTCATGTCAGGTATTCATAAGACAGTTGACATTTTCTTCCTTAAAGATCTCTCAGGTAAATTACAGGCATTTTACTGCTCTGACCTTTTCCTTTACAGGAAGAACTTTTGTTTTCACCGTTTATTTTGTGAATATAATGTTAGAACGGATGTAATTGGAGAGGTGTAGTTGTTCTAGCCTGTATAGTTGGGCTATTACCTGTAATGATCCTCTAATACTGGTATTTATACATGATTATCTCTTACCAAATTACTTTAAATTTAAAGAAAAAGCCAGACTGCTTCCCTGAATGGTTTTGGTGAATCACCTTTTCCCTTCCTTTCCCTGAATACTAAATTTGCTTTCCTAACACATTCATTTTGCATTTTGTGCCTGAGTCTTAGGAAGATGGCTTGCTCTATTAATATATTTCTGGAGTTCTCCTGTTATGAGTAGACTTTTATGGCTTTAATGTAGTTTTTGAAAATTCCTCTATTATTGATCTAGATATTATCCCAGCAGGAGTCAAACCCACAAGACAATTGTGTGAGGATAATTTCTTACTACAGAAGCATTTTATTCTGAAAGCCTGCTGTGTGGTGTGTGCTTTGAGGGATGACCCACTGTTTAAAATGTGTATTAGACATTGGCTTGCTAATTAAATGCCTTAAGGAGCGCTGGTATCCATTCAGTCTCAGTAAATGTGTGGAATTTCTGTTCTTTTATTTCTTGCTTACGCTCTTATGTTTACTTCTTTCTGTTTTCTGACTTTGTAGAGAAGAATAGCAAAAAGTCAAATTACTTTCTACCCTCACTCAAGACTTTCAGCTCAAGGCAGAGGCAAAACAATGAAGGCTTTTGGTTTCAGGATTAGGTCTGCCAAATGGGAGGATGATGAGGAGAAGAAATGGGGTTTGCATTTCAGAAGGGAGTGAGAAGAGCACTCACCTGGAATTTGAGAGATATGAATCTGGATCCCTCTTTGCTCCTGAAGGACCATCTCCCATGAGGAAGAGGAGATAGTTACAAAGCTGTGAGATGCTCTCATACTCCTCTGTTGAAGTGCCTGTGCTGGAAGCATTTTACTGGGAGCGAGAGTGTGAGACCATTCATAGTTGAAGAAAGGGGATAAAGTTATTCTCCTAATTTCTGAGCTGTTAAATTGAAAGGGCAGCCAAGGAAAGGGGCAAGGACTTCTGTACACCTTCAGAAAATGTTTCCTGAGTATAATCCCCATTCCCCTTGTTGGATTTTGTGTGTGTATGTGTGTATGTGTGGAGCAGGTATGCATTAGAAACACCATATTTGCTGCTAAGGCCAAACACAGAATTTGTTCTGCTCAGAGAGATTTGGGCTTTTTGTTCTAGACAGAGGGATGTGTAGAGAATCATAAAATGGTTCAAGTTGAAACCTTTAAAGTTCATTTAGTCCAATCCCCCTGCTGTGATCAGGGTGCTCAAAGTTCCATCCAGCCTGGCCTTAAACACTTTCAGTGCTAGGTCATCCACAGCTTCTCTGGGCAACCTGTTCTAGTGGTCTCACCACCTCATAGTAAAGAATTTCTTCCTTATATCCGATCTAAATGTACCCTCTTTCAGTTTAAAACCATTACCCCCTTTCCTGTCGCTACAGACCCTGGTAAAAAGTCTTTCTCCCTCTTTCTTTTAAGTTCTTTCTAAGTATCAAAAAGCAGCAGCGAGGTCTTCCTGATACTTTCTGCTGTCCAGGCTGAACAACCCCAACTCTCTCAGCCTTTCTTCATACAAAAGGTGCTCCAATCCCCTGACCATTTTCGTGACCCTCCTATGGACCTGCTCTAACAGGTCCATGTTTTTCCTGTGGTGGGGACCCCAGAGCTGGACTCAGAACTCCAGGTGGGGTCTCACGAGAGTGGAGTAGAGGGGCATAATCCCCTTCCTCAGCCTGCTGGCCACACTGCTTTTGATGTAGTCCAGAATGCAGTTGGCTTTTTAATTCATCCATCAATTCCATATCTCTCTGATTTAGAGACAAGGATGTTGTGTAGGACCATCTCAAAAGCCTTAGAGAAGTCTAATTAGATAATATCTGTTGCTCTTCCCTTATCCACCAGTGCAGACACTCCATCACAGCAACCACCAGTTTGGTCAGGCAGGTTTGCCCTTTGTGAAGCCACATTGACTGTCACATTCCTGTCACATTTCTGTCACATTCCTGTCATCCACATGCCTTGACATATCTTCTGGAAAGATCTGTTCCACAATCTTTCTGGGCACAGAGGTGAGACTGACAGTTTGGTAGTTCCCAGGATCCTCCTTGCTGCTCTTTCAAAGGACGGGTGTGAAGTTTGCCTTCCTTTGGTCACCAGGGACTTCACCTGACTCCTGTGACTTATCAAGTATGAGGGAGAGCAGCTTAGCAACTGCGTGAGGCTGTTCCTCAGGATCCTGGAATGTATGTCATCAGGTCCCATGGATTTGTGTTCAGGTCCCTCAGAAGGTCTCAAACCTGCCTTGAGGTTCAGGGACTTGAGAGGTGTGGGACAAGCAACTGAGAGTGAAAACTGAGACAAAAAAAAAGTTGTTGGGTACCTCAGCCTTCTCCATGTCAGCTGTCACCAGGGTCCCTGTCTCATTTGTCAGGGAATAAAAACGTTGATTCATCTAAACAAAAGCAAACTAATAGTTTTCTATTAAACACAGTAATTAATATTGTTTTTTTTTAAGATTTAAATTGGAGACCAAATTTGAAAGAAAAAGATTGTTCTGTAATAATGACCCTCTTAAGAACAAACAAGGAGGTGTCTCTTCTTGAGCAGGGGAGTGGACAAGATGACCTCCAGAGGTCCCTTCCAACCTCAACTCCTTCTGTGAGTCCAAGCCCCAAATAGCTGTGCCCGAGAAGGAAGTAATTCTGTTTTCATTGCTATCATCAGCTGTCTGGAAGCACAACTTGTTTTCTTCCACTGTAACTGCTCCTTGCCTCTTTGAAAGAGATGGATGCAGAATATAGCTCTTTGTGCTCCTAAAGCAAGGCCCATCAGGAGATGCATTAGGAGAAGGAATGGCCCTGTTTTTTTCCTGAAAGTGCTTGCAGGCCACATCCAAGGCCAAATCATGATGTTGTTTCCATCTGTGTCCCTGGACATGTAATTATCTGTGCTGCTCCATCCAGAGAGCTCTCACCGGTGCTTTCAAGTGGAGAAAAGATCCCTGTGTTCAAAATAGAGATATCAATGGTAGCAGAAAATGAATCTGTGGTGTGAACCAGAGAAGATTATTTTATTCTCATTAATGAGCCTAACTTTAGCCTGTGGAGTAAGTGTGTAGGAACAGATGAATTAAAACTAATAAAAGCAGGCAGGAAATTAGGGAACACGTCTCCCCTCAGTTGTCCTTTGGGCAATTTTGCCCAAACATGGGATTTGGAGATTCCTGCTTGGCTTGTGGGGCTGGTCATGCTCACCCAAGCTCTCAGAGGGGTGATAGGTTCATGGTGGCACTCTATTATCTCTGTGAAAGTCCTTTCCTCACCAGCACTATGCCCTTGAGGACAATGCCAACTCCTCTCTTTTCCTCCTCCTTCTCCTCCTGCATGGAAGGAAACTGTGATACCCATTCATCAGGCCTTTGCTGTGCTTTTCTGTAGTTTGTCTGACCTGTGTTTTCATGGAAGAGATTGCTTTGGGACTGCAAAGCAGCTCCAAGGTACTTGAATATCCCAGATACTCCATTGGTAATTGCATTTGGTGGTTAACTTTGTCAAGTAAAGGCAACTGGTTTCTCAGTTCAGCCCTGTCCCCTCCATCAAATGCTGATTTAAACAGGATTTGTTATTTTATAGGTTTAGTGCTGCAGTACTCAGAAACTGAGATGAGAGAAAAAAAAAAGACAAAAAAAAGAAAAGAAAGGAGAGAAAAGCACATTTTGAAAGTTATAGGGGGAGGAATTTGTTCTAATCCCTCTGAAATTATTTTCTTGCTGAAAATTGTCAGATCTGGATGGACTAAGCCAACTGAGTTACCAAGACAACCTATCCTATCGTGGAGATGACCACGTATCTGTTGATTCAAGAACAACAACTGGGAGTAGGGGCACTGGGCAGCATAAAGGGCCCAGGATGGAGCCCAGCATCGGGGATGGCGTTAGCCGGGCAGGCGCGGAAGGACGCTTGGAAATGGAGACAGCACCTGCCAACCAGGGATTGGAAGTAAATGATGCTACTGACAGCTCATCGGCTTGGAGCCCTGAGGTACGGTGAATTGTCATTTATCACACATGGTGTAAGCTTTTGGAGGATATTGGGGGCAAAAAAGTGTTAGAGGAGAAATGAAGTGAAAAATTGATCAGTGCAGCCCAAGATAATGGTACTCCTGTGTGCATGTGGGCGTGAACATACACCCCTCCCTTTGTGTTTCCCCTTTTTCTGGTATTTTACCTCTTGCTACTAACACTAATTCACAGAAGCTCTTTTATTGCCTGATTTCTGACTGCAGTCTCTGAACTGAAATTGGAGCCATTAGCTGCCTGACAGCATTTACTGCTGTTTAGCAAAGAGCACTTTGTGGTGGCCCAGGGCTTTGTCACTGGCTCTACGTGCAAGGTGTGTGTCTCGGGACGTGGTATGTGGTCACTGCCTCTTTTTCCAGGTGTTTTCTATGATTTAGACAATGGGAAGCATCTGGAAAGCTGGACACAGCTGGTGGGGGTGGCCTGTGACTTGGCCAAGTGACCATCACTCTGGTCCCCACTGATACCAGGCAACCTCTTAGGGAAGGAGAGAACCCAAGGCTGCTTTCCCTTAGTTCTGCAGCTTTATCTTGAAGCCTCCAGAAAACATTTTGGATTTTAAGGCATTGTAAACACCTGATTACTTAGCATCCCCCTTTTCTCTCCTAATCTCTCTGCCTGATGTGTTGATTTTCATTATTTTACCACAGGGTAAAATGTCTGAAAAAATATCAGCCTGCATCAGGCATATTAAAAGAACAGCACAAAGGTCACACCTGCCTGAGTTAAAAGAGACTGTTCTTAAGCTGTGGAAATGAATACTTCCATCACATTCTGAGCAACAAGGCTTTGAGGGAAAGGTTCCTATCCTCGGAGCAGGCTGCCTGCAGCCAGTTAAAGAGATGGAAGGCAGCTCCTTGGTGCATATGCTCAAGCCCTAAGGGGTGTTTGGAGCAGCATTTTGGTTTGCTGAACAATCCAGTCCCACAAAACACTGCTCATCACATGGGAACTCTGTGTGGCAGCAGCTCTGCCCTCTCTTTGCTGTTTGTCTGCCCATCTGAGGCTCATTTATCCTTTTACAAATTTGATGTGCATTGCTGTGGTTTACATGTGCCTCAGTGTCTCCAGTGTCCTCTTGCATTTCTTTGGAATACATCTCTTGTTTTGCTCCTGGTACCTACATTTTAAAAATGCAAAGAATGATTCTAGCATCAGGGGGCAGATATGCCCAAGACCCAGTTTATCTACTACAAGCGGCTTCTCATCTGAAGGTATTGTGTGCATTAATGAAAGACTTTTTATTGCAGGAACTAAATGTTCTGACATGCCAGAAATGTCCAAGTGCTATTATGCTCCACTCAAAAGACCTCTCTTTAGAGATGGAAATGGTAATTTTATGCCCCTGCAGTGGAACCACAAGTACCATTTCAATCCTTATCCATGATTAGCTGCTCTTTCAGGTTTCTCTGGCAGAAATGGACTTATTTTACTTAGTGAAGTGGATATTGGCTGTCCTGAATGACCAGGTTAGACATGCAGTATCAATCAGTATATTTGGCTTGACTTCACAACAACTGTGCTGGGCAGAGGGAAAGAAATTCAGATGAAATATCTGAACCCCAATCATTCCTTGGATTCCAATTTAAGTGTCTGTATAATCAATACGTTCACAATGCACTTGTAGCCCAGCTGAGCTTCAAGAGCTGAGGGGAGTTCTGTCAATGACTTCCACGGAAGGGAGATTACTGTGTGTGAAGCAAACCTGTACAGGGGTGAGTCCTGGATAGCACAGAAAGGGCCACCCTGTGAGGTCTCTAAAGCTTGGTTGCCCATGGAAAGGTTACTGCCACAGAGTGTGGCATTTCTCTTTCCCTCTCTGCCTCCAGTTCATGCAGTTTTCTCTGCGGTGGATGTGACTGCAGCTCCAGTAGCACAATTTGACATTTCCTGAAATCCAAATCCTTTCTAGCTGTTCAGTCAAAAACCAGATCTCTGACCTTCAGTCTGCCCTACACGCTGCCAGAAGGTGAGATACTTAGCCCTGCTGGGATGGGAAATTGCCTCTTGGATCTTCGTACCTGTGGGTTTATGATGGTGCCCAGGAGTTCACCTTCTCCAGCTCGGGCATGTGGATGAAAGCAAAGTTATGCTGCAAGCACAGTTGTCTCCAAACCTTAGCAGCAGCCCTTGGATGTGCTTTGATTCCATCTCCTCAGTAGCAAATGCACAGATAAAAGTGTGGAGGGATGAAAATGTGGAGGGAAATATGAGTCAAGCACAATCCCATTACGTTTCCTTCTTAAATATTATTTCATCAACCAGACAGAAATAGCTTGACAGCTACACAGAGCAGCACTTAACTTTTGCATAACACCACGCTCTCTCCAGGCAACCTGGCCTACCTTGCATTTTTGTTTTTTGCAGCCTGCTGTTCATACAGAAAGGTATTTTTGTGGCCAACCAAGTCATTTCAGGTGTTGCCCAAGTGGTGTTTTTTCTCCCTTTGACATTACTTCTGCAAGACGTCTGACAGCAGGTCTCCAGCCTCAATCTGCACTCTTGAACTTTTGTGTTCACATGAACAAGTCTTAAACACCTCTGAAAATATGGAAAGCTGGAGCTTTGCACATCATGGCAGATTAATCTGAGCACTAGGAAGGTAGATTGGCAGGAAGTAAACACAAATTTTGATGTTTATCCGAGGCCTTGTTTGAGACACATACCACCCTAGACACTTCTGAAGAGAATTACATCAGACATCCCGAGGCCCATCATCTGTTCTCTGAACAATAAGATTCCTGTGTTGAAAAGAAGTGTTACTTGAAATGCAAAAGAAGAGAAATGTTTGAGGAGGAGGGTGACTCAGATGCTGGTGACAGGCCTTAATTCACCTTCTGGCTATTAACTGAAAATCTTTCCCTAGTACAGTGTATACTCATGTTTAAATACAAATCATTGATCACTATAGCAACCCCTTTATCACATGAAGCACATTCTAGCTCTGAGATAAAAAAGCACTTTTGAACAGAAATGCACACGCCCACTCAGCAAAAGGTAAGGTGAGCATCCATGTTTTTATCTTGTTTTATCAAGATGATTTTTGTTTTAAAAGTAGGTAAAAGATTGTGTGTGGATTGGTCTGCACATGTTGTGCTTGTTTATTTTGAATTTTTATTCTGAATGTATTAGTATCCAAACAGAACAGAAGGAACAGATGCTTCTCTTGGGAGATTTAAAAAGGGTATAAAGAGTCAGTATGTATTTAATCAGACTGTTTTTCTCCATTTTCATTGCTTTAGCTGTAGGAAAAGTATTGAAATATAGGGAAGCATCTAGAAATGGAATTTCAATTTTGTAAGAAATTCCGATATGGTGATTTCCTCTTCCATCAAACTGAACCACAGTGCTTAATTTTTTTAATTTATAGCAGAACAAAATATTAAAAAAGTTAGCAGGTTTGGCTGAATTGTTTGATTTTGCTAATGCAAAAAATATGTCTTGAAAAAAATTCCAATGTATGTTCAAAGTAAAAGGTTAAGTTGGTCAAAATATTTTGTCAATGCCTCAAAATTGACGTGAATGAAATGTAAAAAAAACTTTGTTGAGTTTTTCCCTATGAGGAATGTTTTCCAAATGAACTGTCTCCTGCAAAACATTTAGATATTGATGAAACTTTTTGTTGGAAATGTTTCAACAAGTGCTATTGCTTACTAGAGTGTATGGGGAATATTACACAAATTCAGGCAACTAACAATCATTGCCCTTTCAAGAAACAGTGAGGTCTTTATTTCGCACAGCAGCTGCCTACACTTGCAGGCATAAGGCAGAACAATCTTTTTTAAATGGAATTCAGATCACAGAGACAGTCGAACTCCAGTGGAGGTGTTATTTCTTCCTTCTCTTTGCAGGAACATAACGAAGTGAACAGTGTACCAGCTCATCATGGTGGTCATGAGCCCATCTGCAAATGTGGTGATCTAGATGTCATCTTCAGCTATAAACCCTCAAGTCAAAAGCTGGTGGTTACTGTCTTGGAGGCCAGGGATATCCCAGACAAAGACCGCAGCGGTGTGAACACCTGGCAAGTGCACACAGTTCTGATGCCAGGCAAGAAACAGAGGGGTAAAACGAGTGTTCAGAGAGGACCCATCCCCGTCTTCAAGGACAAAATTGCCTTCAGTAAGCTGGAACCACACGAGTTAAGCAGCCACGCCGTTCGCTTCCGCCTCTACGCGGTGCACAAGATGATTGGAGAGAAGATGATGGGAGAGCAACTGTTCTACCTGAGCAACATCAGCCAGGAAGAGGAAGTGAAGGTGACACTGGTCTTGGAGCCCAGAAGTAACCTGAGTGTAAGTTTGATGAAAGACATATGGGATCCATAAAATTGTTTGTCTGGTGAGCGGGGACCAGCCTTACCTGACGTCTTTCATTCAGAGGTGTTGGCATGTGAGTGGTGGACCTGTCCTGCTGTCACTTAAAAAGTTATCAGTAAGGGGAAGCACAGGATATTTGTTCCCTATGCAAAGCTGTGCTTTATTAACAACAGCTCAGCTAGCAAACTGACACCAAACCATGTGGATGTACTACATCTACACGAATCATCACATGCTGTGCCATTCAGAAATAGTAGGTTGATCCAGGAACCACCAAGGCTAATTATGTCTTAATTTCAATAAGGACAGTGATTCTTGTGCACCATTGTGTTGGTGGACCTGTACTACTGCCAGTGCAGGAGCTACCTCATTTGGCCCTAGCTACTAGCTGGTATATCTCCACATGGTGCAGCTCCCATGTTGCCAGAAATGCTTAATAATGTTCCTTTACGTGACAGATGGAATTGGAGAGGTGGGTCACGGGAAGAGGAACTGGCTGTGCTGCTTCCTAATTTTCCAAGCACATCACAGTTGTATCCAGCTCTGGCTATGCCAATCGATTTGTGTAGATGAGCTCTGTCATGATTCATTGTCTACAAAAAGCTCAGTGAGAGGCTGTGCACACAAAATGAATAAAACATCGAACTCCAGGTGAAGAGGGAATAGAGAGAGCATTGTGGGAGCAAGGAAAGAAAGTAAGAAAATGCACAGTACATGACCAAAAAACCCCAAACTGCAAACTGTATTCCATCCAAAAGCCATTATCAAGGAGATTGACTGAGCATTAATGTAGTAGGATGTTTGGTTATCTCAGAGGCTTTGATTTACAGTAGTGATAACACATTATGCAGAGTTCCTCATCTTTAAAGAGAAAGTTCAGAGATGTGTTTTTGTAAAAGTGACGCTCTGATTCTCCTGGTGCCCCAGCATAATTAATTCTTAGTTATTGTAATTTCTTAAGAGAGCTGTTATCAAATGAGGCTAGAAGATATAAATTGGGGGAGGGTGGTGGTGAATGTCCTGATGATTCTCTCGGTGCTCTTTCCCTGCAGAGTGCAGATTCTCAGCTTAGTCTGTCAGCAATCTCTCACAGTGATAGCGCTTCTTCAACACAGTCCCTGTCGCATGGAGGGGTGCCAGAGCTGCTCGTGGGATTGTCATACAATGCCACTACGGGGAGGCTGTCGGTGGAGATGATCAAAGGCAGTCATTTCCGAAACCTCGCAATTAATAGGCCACCTGGTAAGTACTCTCACTGCTGTTAAATAACACCATTGAGTCAAAATTTGCTTTTTATTTTCTTCCTCGACATATTCAATTATGCCTTTTCTGAGCCGGGTTTCCTTGCAGAGTACCTGATGGAAAATTAAAAGCCTTTATTTCAGATGCGTGTGTTGGTAAATGTTACAGGGTAATTGGAGGCAATCATATGAAGACACAGCTGATGGGATGGTAATACCTGAATGTCTGTTTTATTGTATATACCTTTACAACATCTGATTAAGGCAAAAGTGTCATTATACCCAAAGCACAAGGTAATTCTCAGCAGATCCATAAAAATAAAGAAGCACTTTCCAAGTGTTTATATGTTACCATGTGACCCACAGGGGCCCTGCCTCGTGCCATTAAGTGTTTCCCAGGGCTATGCTTTGTTTAGTCCCCTTGCTGTGCTGCTGAGTGCTGGGTGACCTGGTGCTTTGGGCCCTTTGGGGATCCTCCTGCTGTGAATTCTCTGCTGCTGCACAAGAAAATCTTCTGCAGAAGGAAAATTGGAAAGTTGTCACATCAGGGTCACAATAGTTGAGTTCCTTTCCTCCAGTCCTACAGGAAAAAATGGAAATTGCCTTACAGTAGGTTTGGTTAGTGCCTGAGCTGTCATTAGTCCTTGAGATGGATAGTGCTGCTGTCCGTGATATAGATGGAGTCACAAAGCCATAGCACCTGGTCTTATCTGCTTTGCTGCTGGGATGCCTCATTCAGGGGTTGAATGGCAGCACTGTATTCATCCTGTGTTGTCCTTTTGCCTCCTGTCTGACACCAGCAACTGATGGCAATGTGAAATAATGTGTGTTTTTTGTTTGTCTGTTGGTGTGTTTGCTTTTCATGATGTTTGCCTACTTGTCAAAGATAATAACCTTTGACAGTTCCTTGCCTTCACTGGATTTGACATAGTATCTGTAGCTGCAAAATGCTAAAATTTCTTTTGCAAGATAGTCTGCTCTTTGGCCCAGATCTAGCAAAATATTTATGTAATATTTCAGTGTATGGATATGAAAACTCAAGTTTCTACTAAACTATACTGGAGTATATTACAAAAATAATCTGTGTCATCAGTTAATCCCTCGAGAACTAAGGGCAAGCCTGTGCAACCGTAAAACACCTGACCCCAGTCTGTGTAGTCCTAGCTCATCTTTTATTATCTGTAGCAACACAGGTCTCTATGTGAGTTACTTAAAGGCATGTTCTTGTTAACATTTACATGTTTTATTAAAAGGTTTCAGTCTGGGACCTTTTTTTAGTGATTTAAAGCACAGGTAGACTGAGACAAGCACCTTACTATATGCTCTAACAGGCAAGCTTTCCGGTGTTTACATATGCTGCAGTGTAGATACATCCTAAAGTTTTACTCTTGGAAATGAAATTAAAGTAGTCCCAGTATAGGTCCAAATAAATTTGCTGCATTTTTTTGTGGCATGTTTTCATGTATCTACCCGTGGTATTGGGGTTTTGTCTCTTAGCTGCCCAGAGAGGTGGATTATGCAGCACTTCTGTTCTTAAATCAGGCCCTGTACAAATTGTCTTTTATCTGGCTGGGTCAGGCATATGTGATGCCCACTTTTTTCCCATAAATGAAACATCTTTACTGCATATAAATAATTGCTTTTTACCCTACTATGTGCAATATAATGACCAAATTACTGACATTTTTTTGGTTTCCTTCTAATAAATGTCTTTCATGGTACATGGTTGCTATAAGCTGAGCAGCTCTGTAACTCATTGTCTCTGAATGCTGGGGAGCTGTGTCTGTCCTGGGCCTCTGGTGGGGTGGGGTTTGGCAGATTAGCCATGAGTGCACACGTTATCTTTCAGCATGGGAAATTTTATCTACCTTGATCAGATGTCTCATCCAGCTTTATGGCAGTGGGTGCACAAGAGTGCAGTAGCTTGGTTGGCAGCATCTTTAAACCTGAGAAACATTTTGTGTTTGTTGATGACAAAAGAACGGGAGCAGGATATGGGCAAAGGAGGTATTCCTTGAGAGACTTTTTATTTTAAATTCTGAGTGAATTTTCCATTTCTATGTTTGTAGGGCTTCAGATAAATCTAATTTAATTTGTTTGATAAGATGGCCAAAGTCTTCTGTCAACCAAACTAACAGTCCATACATAGTTTCATAGCAGTTCTTTCTATGTTAAGACTATTTCTAGTTGTTTCTTCACATCCTTTCTGTATCCAAAAGAACTTAAACAAAAAGAACTTTAACATTGTCAGACCAGTGTCTCTCAGTGCTAGATCAGCTTTTAGGTGAAACACAGAGATCCATAAATTATTATAGGCAAATTCTGAACCTATCACAATCTGCTTCTTTTATTCCAAGTCGCATTGTTGCTTCTGCTTTCTGAACTGTTCTTCTGTGCCTACAAAGTTCCCAGCGGTGTGGTGAGAAAAGGAAAACCCAGCGAAGCAGAAACTGAAGGAAATTAAAAAGAAGGAAGAAAACCAGCAGTTGTCTCAGATGCTGGAGGAGCATTTCACTGATAACTCCTCAGGCACTGCAAGGGAGTGCTGTGAGGTCCGATCGTTACTGTCTGAAACATGCTGGTGGCTGAATGAGATGCTCAATAAGTCCTTCAAGAGGTGAACACTAAAGCTGGTATCCCGCTTTCTGGAGGGTGAGGAAAGAGCCCTTGTGTTTTCTTAAATAGGTCCTATTTGTGGTTCTGTTGTTTGAGACTCAGAGGGAGTGATTTCTTTAAAGTATCATGGAAATTTCAGATATAATAGTGCTTTGGGGCACTTAAATACCAAGCCCAAACTGCTATTCAGGGCAGCCATTTATGGTAAGACCAGGAGAAGGCAATGGACAGAATCCATCTCTATTCCCAGCCCTGCAGGCTCAGATCCTACACAAGACCCATATGTAGCCCTGTTGCAGCCCAGTGGCTTTAGTACTGGCTGCTGCTGCCAGCTGCATCTGTGGGGAATGGCAGAAGAGTCTTGAACAACAGCAAAGTCTCCAGCTGTGCTTTTTGCCCACCTTGATCCTCTTCTCTGCCACCTGTACTCTTATAGCATGCATGCTTCCTTCTTGGCATCCTTGCACAGGGATTTCACTGTGAGTAGAAGGAACTGGATTGGGGCATCGGTGATTTTAGGTGTTGAAGACTGCAAAGGCTGAAAAAGTTGGTTTTCTGGAGAAGAAAAGGAGGATGGTGCATGTTTCAGTTTTTCCTGGGCACATCATCTCCTTCACCTTTAAACTGAGTCAGGTAAATATCAAAGTCATGGGTGCTTACATGAGTCATAACCAGGTTAGAAAACAGCTGGACATCTTACAGAAACTTAAATCTGTGTCTTCGGGTCACATTTGTGTGATTTAAGGGTGGTTTGGGCAAGGATAAGTGTCCAGGTGTTGTTCTGGGTAACATGCTGAGTTATAGGCCTAAGCCTACAATCCCTGATCACGTAAATAGATCCATTATAACTCAGGCACTTAAGAGCACTCAAGAGTATGGCTGCAGCATCAGACCGTAAATTATCTGTGTGCCAAAAAGCCTCATGCAGAAAAGCATCTACAGTTTTGTCAGATGTGGACACTGTTGGTATTTTAGTGCTAATGGCTTGTGTGTTGTGCACCTCATTCTATTTGGTTCTTGTAAAAAAAACATTAACCTGTGCTAGTATTTTGTAGGAGTTCATATTTTGTTCTGTAGTCTTGTATTTTCTTAGAACAAAACGCAGCGTGTTCATTTAAAGGGTGTTTATGATAACAAAATGTAACAAGAGAAGCCTACACCACTGTCAGAAACATCTTTAAAAATTTATAACCAGTTACATACTATGAGCATGGTAGTAATACCTTGGGATCACAGTGATGGAACAGGAATCATTTGAACTAGTCAGCGCATAAACACAAAACAGAGAAATGTCTGCCCATGTGATGTTAAACCTTCATCTGCTGCTCTGCTGGGTGCAGCTCTCTCTCCTCTAATCCAGCCTTCCTTCTTTTCCCTTCTGCATTTCTTTTGGGGTTTATGTCTGCGTGTAACGCAATTTGAGAAGAACTATTGTAAAGTTATTCCCCCGCCTAAGAAAAGTCCTCCAAGGTTTTCAGCAGCTGCAGAATTAATCACACATTATAATTACATCCGTACATGATCATTATTATACCAGCAGCATATTAACCCCATTAAACAAATACAATAGCATTAATGCTGGAAAAGACAGGAGGGAGAGAGCAAGCTATCAGGATTTCTATTGGTAACAGGAGAAAGTTCTTCTTGAATTAAAGACTTTTCTGAAAACAAACATTTACCTGAGCCACAGGTAACAATATCCAGGAAACACAGAAATTGCTCCCACAGAAAATTTAGGATCCTTACATTAGGATCTGCATTGCTCTGGTATCAGGGTGCTTGAAAACCATTAGCGGATTTTATTTTATCAGATTATTTGTGAGGGAAGTAAAGTTATTAACCGTGTTACATTCCTGGAGAACTAAGGCACAGGTTAATTCCTTTAATTACTCCAAATCAGACCAAGAAGCTGAGTAAAAAAATTAACTTTTAACCTGCATATCTTGCTCTGAACAGGGAACTTGCTTGAGCTCCTAAAGCTTTGTGATTCATGCTTCCATGTCATTGGTAACAGAAGGGGGACCTTGCCAGGGCAAGATGGGGTGGATTCAGTCCTCCAGAGAGCTTGGTTAACAGAGCTGGAATTTTCTGGGAAGCTTCTTGCTGCCAAGTGCTTGCCAGTCAGTCACAGTAAAATTGTAGGAAAGTCACCTCTCCTTCTGCACCTTCTTTTTGCCCATCCTTGAACAGCTAAAATAAGCTTACAGTAAGAACAGCTGAGAAAGCTTTGTTCTGGGTGAGAAAGATGAGGCCAGATGCAAGTAGCCCCAGAAGGATGTCTTAGTAATGAGCAGCCAGGCAGTGAGGCAGAAGATGAAGTGTGGATGAATGTAAAGCATTGCATGGGAGCACATGTGGAATTCAAACTTAATCTGGATGGACTCA